AATAGGCCTATTGAAATTAAACCATACTGCTTTCGCAAAACGATGCTACATCGAATGTAAAAGGAAGATATGAGGAAAGAAAGAAGAACAGGAATTGAATAAGTTTGAGAATGTTTCTTTCGTATAATCTGCAAAGAGTGCCTTAGAAAAACTTCAGGAAGAAATGTAAGTTACGAGAATAAGAGGAATTTAATCAGCAAATGGCATTAAGAAGTCGTATGGTTCATTGTGACAAGGCCCATTTCAAAAGAGATGGAACGCGAAAAAAGCTTTCAGTAGAGATGGAACGCAAAATCATCTTTTTAATATGCTTAGGAAGGAGATTTCTCAAGGGACAGACGGCTTTGACTATAGTTACTGGATTGCGGTCTGTCGCATTTGATTGATTCGATCATTACAGTGGGTCTCTTTCTATCCATTTATTTCGCTTAAACAAGTAGGAAAGGCATTTGAGCAAACTATCATAAACAGAAAGGAACCTTAATGCCTAAGGACTAGAAAGGGACCTTTTAACTAAGCTGCAAGGCCACCTAAAGAATGATGAAAGAAGAAAGCCACCAGAAAAGGCCAAAAAATGTTGAAAACAAGTCAAAAGGAAAGTACTTGGAACTGAAGACTGGAACATGAACTAGCACAGCATTAAGGGCAAAGTTGGCAATTTGTGGTTGAAAATGGGTAATTGCGATATATGTATACATAAATGGCTTAGTTAAAAAATAAAGACGGAGTTGTTCACAATCATTTTTTCTTATTACTGGAATATTGTTCGTAGGAATTCAGGCTCAGGGTCATCAAGACTTCAATAATGTTATATGAATATTGCTCCGTCCCAGATTGCATTTTTGTGTCTCGTTTTTCAACCATTGCCTGCTTTGCGATATTCACAACAGGGATTTGTAAAACTGAAAATTTTATTTCTCCCTAAATCCAAGGATTTATTCAAAGACAAGCGATGCTTCCCTAAATCCATATCCAGTTGGAATAAAATAGGAATTCTTTAAGAACATTTTAAGGCTCATAATGAAAATTTCTTAAGAATATGTTGCTGGAGAAATTTTATAGTATTCTTATAAAAAATTTTTTTACTTCCATATATTTATAATTCCTGAAAAAACGAAACACTGTTCTCAAACTACTGTAGAATTCTGTTTCCATTTGGCCTTTGTAGAGAAACAAACTACCTATTAAAAACAGTTGGAAACCGAAGTGATGTTCTTTATACTTCCACTTGACTGATCATCTTTATCCTAATCGAGCTACTTATATGTAAAATCTTAAATCTCTCACCATTCAATATTTCAAGCATTAAATGAAGTGAGAAGATTTCCTGTTTTGCAACTAACAGCTTTTGTTATGAAAAAAATAAAGAAGATGGACGATGCTTATTTGCTTTATTGATAAATCGTTAGTCTTGAGTAAACTATGCTGACGAGTAAATTTTAATGTCAGTATAGAAATATTGTCAGAAATTTTGTAGTAAAATATCATTAATGTTTAGATGTAACTTTTAAAACATACATCTGGTTGGTCTCAAAGTATCGTTGTGCGAAAGAAGATCAAGAAATTGAGCATTGATAAAATGAATATTTGTTCAAGATAGATGTAAAGTAAGATAATGTCATAGTTTATTATTAAAAGAAAGCTTTTTTGTAAATAATATAACTCGAATGCCCATGTGTTGAAAGAATTTTGTCAAACTACACGAATGGGTTATCCTTTTTCATAGGAATTTATTTAAGTGAAAAACATTTGCATATGTTTTAATGGTTGCTGGAATAATTTGGTGGAAAGAGTGTGCAATACATGACAAAATTATCTTACTAATCGTGAGTAATATCAAGATGGCAATGGTTCGAAAGGTATTTAACTTCTCTATCAGAATTTGCTTACTGTCTTAAAACGGTTCTGCACTATTGATTTCAATCACCAGAGTATTATGGCTAAACTTGTAGTATTTACACCTCTTTGTTAATTACTGAGTCGCTATGTGTGATGATCGCATTATAGAGTAACTTTGAAATGCATTATGTAAAGTTGTAACTGGCATAGCCAACTCTGTACATTTAGTAACTTAATGATGATTGCATTGTGCCTTTGAATCTTCGAGAAAATAATTCTAAGAGTCACTCTCGCCAAGGTGATCAGGTTCAAGCAAATAAAGCTCAGCTTTGATTATCAATTCGAGGAGATTCTGAAATTGTACTTCTACGTGATAAGACTTCAAACATAACTGCGTCACTGGCCAAAACCAGTTTTGCGAAGCCAGTATGGCGGATAACAGTTTTTCAGCGCAGTTTTTATGTGGTTATTAAACGTTATGAATCCTTTATATGAAATTTCATTAACTGATTCGGTTTGGAGAAATTTCCTGATTCATTGAATCGAAAACAATGGAAGATCTTAATCTACCAGCTGAATGTGGCGTTAACAACATTACGGTGTGACTGAAAAAAGCATCTAACCTCATTAGCTCCTGTAACTATCTGCAAGATTCGTTACAATAAAAAAGATAGAAAATTTCTGGTTATCAAACAAATATAATTTACTGTGTGACGCTGGGATGCCATGCTCTCAAAAGAGCGTAGATTGGATCGCAATGTTGTATGATTTGTTTGTCTCAAAGTAACTTCGACTTAAAATTTGTGTGGATTTGATATTTCATTTTAACTACATTACAAATAAATTCTCTGAAATAAAGCAGAAAATTTGGAATATATATGTGTATGGAAATTTAATGAAATAGTGCACCAACCTTGAGAGGCAAAATTAAGTATCATGTATTACTGTGTTAAATTAGTATTGTAAAAGGGAACTCTGTGTATCGCAATATCTGAAGTCAACAGAATGTGATTGCATTATTAAGCATCTAAAAAAACTCACAGTTTTCAGTAATGGATGAGAGACTTGGAGCCTTGAATGAATCTTTGGTATGTTGCGTTTGAACTAGCAAATAAAGATCTAGTCAATGCACCTTTCATTCGCGATCGTTGAATTTAAAACCCGGACCTCAAAGTTCCAAACTCTGGCCACAGTTTTTTTAAGGGAAGGATAAAACGCTTTGTCTTGCCGACACGGTTGCAGAAAGGAGCCAATTTTGGGAAACAGGCTTATGTGTGAAAAAATTCAGTTTTCTAGAAAAACGCATAAAAAATTGTACTAGGGGTGTCAGACCATGGACAGATAATATCATATGAAAGATTTCAAATTGATAATTCAGAAATGCCTAAAATATATACATAATATAAGTAAGAGCATTGAAATTATAGGGGTATCAATGTAATCCTTGTCATTAATGAACTTCACACAAGTAGCAAGAGACTTTTCTGATGTTCGCAACTATGTTAAAATGTGTACTATACCTCTGTTTGAGTGAAAAAGCCAAATGTAACAGATTTGCAAGAGTTGATGGGTTTCTTAAACTTAATGATAAAATTATACAGGTGTTGTCCAAAAGTATAGAAAATCTGTGATGTTGGAGCAAACTGATCTGTCATCGAGAGGCATTGAATGTTGAAATAACACGTTGAGAAGTTCTTTTTAAGAGCTGGAAACATGGTAAAGAACAACTTGTGTTTTCTTCTCTTGGGAGAAAAAATGATCACAATGCTCTCAAGAGAGTAGTTGTGAATTAGCTCGAAGAGAGCAATCAATCTCTTAAGACTTAAATTACTTGTCTCTAGGTGATTCTAAAAGAGCTCAGAAGGCTTGCTTAAAATTCACTGGAACATTTCAAATTGTATCCTGTGATAAGTCCCATATCTCAAGACAAGTTGTGTCTATTGGGTAAGAACATAGACCCTTTGGTTAGCGCATGACGACGTGTGGCCTCGGGATAAATGGATTAATGTGGCATTAATAAGGCCGCATATTAATATTGTCAGCTGCTGGCTACACTTGAGTCCGTTTCAGTTTGGAAGACAGCGATTTAAAAAAGAGAGATAAAATCTACCATTTTCGTCGTCAGACGGACAGGCATGAAACGATTAATCGATGTTGAATAACTTGAGTGGCATTGCATATCAAGCAAATCTTTAGTTGTCATTTAATTTGTCACGTTTTTCATGTTATTCAAAAGCTATTGATACTAAAGGAACTTTTTTCCTTCAACTATCGGATGAACGTGATAGATTTCTTCAAACTGTAAAATTTTTTTTCAGAATCCTTACCATGACAAGGACTTCGATTAGCTTAGATTGCCACGATTTTGTACCACAAATTTGACACAAAGAAATATTTTTTTGAATGTGATTTGAAAATTACAAAGAATTAGTACACTGTGTTTTATTATAGATGAAGACACGGTTACTCCAAGGACTCCCTTATCTGTTTACAGTAGTCCCACGGGGATAAAAGAAAATTGGCAAAAACTGAATTTCCTGCATTGGGTTCATTTTTGAAACATACCATCTCAAAATAATTGTAAAGCTAGAGAAGTTTAGTAAGAGATTTTCATTTTTGCATTTCATCAAAAGATTGTACACAAGAACTGAGTCAAGTAACGACAATCTAGTCAACTTTTGTAAAAAACCAGTAATAAACGTTAATGAAATCGTGGAATAAGCATTATTAAAGATGAACAAAATGTGCATTTCAATTCAATTGGAAAAAAACAAATTATATTGTTTTGCATATATTTTGGCAGTGATTGACATATAATTATGACTTTTGAGTGACGCTCAAAAACTGAATTTCTGAAAAACTTTTTATCAATTTTTGTTTTCTAGAGTCAAAGTTTCTCTTGTGTTTGTAAAAGCGAATAAAGTTTGCAAAAATCAAGGCTTCAAGTTTGAAAACATAAAAGTGTATTAAATCAATCGAACAAATAGGAAAAGAGAATTGTTATTACTGTAAGAAACGTGCTCCTTAGATTTATCACGATTTTAAGAAGCTGTCTATGGTGTGTATACTGAAGTGAACGTAACGAAGCATCAGAAAAAACAGGGCTGAACTGTAAAAACAGCGAAGCTAGTATAAAATCTGCTAAATGAGAGTAAACAAACCTGATAGAGATGGGTCTCTTTCTCTTCACTGGCGCTTTTTAGGTGATCTGAGAGCCCCTAGCAGCGCGGTTTGCTCTGGAGCAGCAACAAACGATAACTTGTGGATATGTGGCTGTACGCAAAGTGAGTGCAAATATATGGATTGGAGCAACTATGTCACGGTCAATGAAAACAGCCAGACGGTTAATCCAGCCCTGACCGCATTTGCAACACTAGTCACTCGTGTGAAATCGTCGTCATCGCAGATAAACAAGGCCCGGGTTCATTTCCGAGGGATCAATATGATTCGGTGAAAGTCGTTATAGAGACGATGTTTAAGACTTCCGTCAAGAAGAATAGAATAAAAAAAAGAGGTTCATCGGGATGACCTCTGGGCATTGAGGAAATGAATCGTGTCTAAGAGAGACTATGAAAATAATTACAGTAAACAAGTTTTAATATTCAAAGGGCAAAAATGGTCCAAGTCTCCTGTAGAAAACTGAAAGTAATGAAAATTGAAATTGAAAAATTACGGGGACATTCATAAATTTACAAATTTATTGAAAATTCACAAATTTACCCAAAAAGGACCCCTACACACAATTCTCTTTGAATCACATGGTATTGTAAAAATATTACTCAAAAGTTGTTAATGATTAAGGCCGAATAGCGAAACTAATCGCTCAATTTCTCTATCACATTATCAATCACAAACTCAAGGCTCATATTGTAACTTACAAAGAGAGAAGCATGCAAAATTATATTGCAACATGCCCCTAGCTCCAAAGATTTGCAGACCCGTTATAAGGGTACTTTGAATAAGGTTGATATAGAATCACAAACAATTTTAGTTATGCAAGCATGTTTAATAGTGTTACAGTGTCAATTCATTATCAAAAGCATCTGCTTTTGCAAGTATTGAAACTGACAAATGGTCACAAATTGGCACAAATTGTCACAAATTGGGGTACTTGTGACAATAACCGAACAACTCATTACTGGGGTACTTGATGCGTTTACGTATCAATATAAATTGGATTAAGGTGCAGTTTTCGCTATAAAAAACCAGTTATCATATACCATGTCATATTTTCATGCATCTTACTGATATAAAGTTGATGCAAATTCAATGCAACGAAACTCCTTAATAGTTGAAACCATTGAAACCATAGTTATTGTCCGGTAATCGGTAATGCTCCTTGCAGTGGCAGTTTTAGGAACTGCGGGGCTCAGGGCCAAAAACATCTGCGGGGCCCTTGGTCTTCACGATTTCTCACTTTTTTCTTAGACGTGCGGCTCCTCTTGGCTACCATAAGCGCGGGGCCATGGTTCCCCTGGAGCCCCCTTGAAACCGCCACTGGCTCCATGTCCAGTACTAGTCTAGACGTCTTTTTTCCATTGCAGCAGGGACACTAGACCGCAATATTTTATTTAGCTATTTATCAATTGGTTACTACAATTTGTCTCAAACTGGGACATGTGCATTAATGTAGGCTTTCATTGGCATAGCGGATGTCAGACGTAGTCCGGGGGTAGGGGGCGGTGGGAGGTGGGTTTAGTTAGAGGGGTCGCCAGAGTAATACTGTTTTATAGAGATAGCATTGCCTGAACGGAGCCTGAAATACGGGAAGCTGTTCCTATTTAGGGGGCTGCAGTTCTCCCAGCCTGTATTTCTGATATGCCTATGTAGGATGTAGTGAGGGAGGGTATTTCTCGTTTATATTTCGATTTAACCAAGGTATTCTAGTGAAAACATACCTTGCATAAATAAAGCTTAAAATTGCTTGTCTGGGAGATTTAAAGAGTCAATTGGATCTGCAAATGATGTAAGGCCCAAGATGTGTTTGAATATGGCTTCATTTCTATCAAAATATCAGCCCAAGTGATTAACAAATTAACCTATTTCAATAAAAGAGAGACAGTTATTGGTGATCACTAGATTAGAATACACTTTCATTGGCTTTGTGGGTAATATTTTCTGTCAAAGAGAGAGTACTTTCTAATTCTTTGAACTATTGAATATTTGAACTATTTCGAAAATTGAACGTAAAGTGGTATCACATGATGGCAGGTGTAATGTAGTGAACATGTGATTTATATAATAGCGAGGCATGTGTCAGGATTTTTATAATAGAGCTGGGTGTGTGAGGAAGAAAGATTTGTAGAGCACGGGAACAATAATATTACCGTGATTATAGATTTCCATCGGTGTATTTATTTCATGGGTATTTCTAATAATCTATTGGTTGAATTTTGAAGGAGTTTATAAACAGTAATGTGCGCAGAGAGGAGTCTTGCATAACATGGCATACAAACTGTAAGAAAATACAGAACAGCTGCTCAGATATAATTTCCTCGAAAATTAAAGTGTAATGATCGATAGAGATATAAACTGTTTGATGGGTATGTTCCCAGATTACCTTTAAGGTAATTTATGGTTGACATTCAATAATTTAATAGTTATTATGTGATTTAATTGTTACGTATATTTGCAGTTTAAATCATTTGGATTAGAAACCAGTTGAGTTGCCCCCAATTTATCTTTAGGTTTGGTATGTACATTGGAAACAAAATCTGGCTGTTTTGGCAAATCGATGTGACCTGAGTTTACTTATTTAAAAATAATTGTAATTGAAAGTTGAACTTGAATAACAAACAACCAGAATAATGATACAAGAATGATTTATTCGTCATATCAAACTTCCACACTCTATTGTTGACTAATCAGCCCGAATACAACCCAAATATATTTTACTTGCATCCTTTTCAAAGAAGTAAAATGTATAAAGCCCTAGCTTGTTTTAAAAAGTAAAAAATACCATGCGGTATCTTACAAAAAACAGTTGCTTCTTACAAGCTGAAATTCTTTACCTAAAGCATTAATGATACATAAAATTCTATTTTGATTACTGAAATTCAAAATTTCACATGAAACTGACATGCCATCAAGAAGATAAAAAATTTGTAGAAACTAGACAACAGTGTTTTCACGGGGAATGGTTCAGAAGATAAAATAAACTGTTGTGCAGAACATTAAAGGGTGAATAAATCTTAAATGCCACATAGGATCAGAAAGCATTAGAGTAAGTATGGAGCAGTGGTTTAAAGGAAGATGAAGCATTGATATAGAGGGATGAAAGAAATGTAGAGGACTTAGTGCAAGCAAGGCTATGGCAAAACAAATATGGCCGCACAAACTGGCAAATAGAATAATTAATGTTAGACAGAATATAGGAAAGAACATATACGCGTCTAAGGCCCAACATTTCAAAAGGTATCAATTTTGGCTCTAAAAAAACAAAAAATATCGCTGATTATGAATTATAATAATATATTGTTTTAACTAGGATGGAAGTTTTAACTTGGAAACCGCTTTTTGTACTTTTTTCTGCAGTGTCTTCAACTCCATCGGGCTCTTACTCGTAAAAAGGTTACGGAAGGGGTTCTGAAAAATTCTCCCAAACATTTTGGCTAAAATCGCATCCCTAATACACGCTGTTTAATCCTCTTACAATGTGTGACGGCAAAAGTACTAAAATTAAATGCAATTTGCCAATTGCTATTACAAGAAGCCAAAATTCAAAATTCCGGTGGCAAAGGGAGTGAATCCCTTTTCCAGGCCTATCCCCCCCCCCTTCCCCGATAAATTCTAGCAACGGTTTATTCAAGCTTTGCTTTTTTTAATTTGGTTATATTTTCAGTCAGCCAAAAACTAATCGCTGTCATTTCATAATTTGTGCATGGTTTGTTCAGATTTGTAAAAGTAATTCAATAGTTTGTACTCTTCTGTCAGTAAATAGTGCGATCAGGCATGCACTCGTGTAACTCGCTGATGTGAGGCACGGATGTGGCAAGCCATAGTTCATTAATGCGTTCTAGGTGTTTCTTGTGGCACGTTCTGCAAACCTTTTCGTTCAGTAGTGAAGTCAACAGCAACCAGAAGTGGTATTCATATAACAATGCATTCTTGCTGCATCCGACACCAAGTCGGCACCAGCATTCTTAGGAGTGGTATTATAACAGATTGCAAACAGGGTATTTATTCGCGTTAGCAATCGGCCAGCTAACAAATCATACTGGCAAGAGATACCAAGGTACGTTAATAAGGAGATGAGACCCAGTGTGTATTTATCACAAGATTTATCAAGGCCCTGTCCATGTTAGAAATATCTCCTTATTGAAGAATGGCAATAGTGTCAAAAGTTTGTTCTTTGCAGTATAAGGGATTTTTCAGCATCTTGGGGATTTTAAGGAAAAAATTTAGTAGATATTCATCAATACACCAATGAACAAGTTGTTTCTTTTTGCATTCCATTTTTCTGGATTGGGAAGGGGACAGTCGTTAATGTTTACATCAAATCATTGAAAAATATTTGACCTTAAAGTTTAAGATTATGCTTTCTTCATATCAGAGATTCAATTCTCGAGCTGAAACTCAACAAAATTTGACAAAGCATCATTTTGGCATCAATCTGAGCACTTTTCTAAAAATCATAGCAAATTATGGCAGACTGTTTTATACAACACAACGAAGTTGGTGTACTGGTTGTGCTATTTTCGCACAATCTATTGGCGAAAAAGCATTCAATTGTAAATTAAACTAAGACTCGGATACTTTCAATGCTAAACATATCTTGGAGATTCAAGCAACGAGAATTAAAAAGAAGGAATTTTCTCTCTTGAAAATAGTATCAATTCCTATTTCTAGCTGGCCTAGATATATCAATACATGTGTTTGTGCTAGCATAAAGTCTTAATCCCCGATGCAACTGCTGTTCGAGAAGGGGAAAGTCATGTCTTCATTCTGTAGGTGGCATCTTTGATTTTCATCTCCAAAATCATCTATGTAGCCCATTTTTGCCCTGCCCGATTTTCTCAAAATTGGAAACGCTTAATTAGCTCGCAAGACTGAGGCCTTCCGTTGGAAATAGGTGCAAAGCTTTTTGAATCGATGATTGATGTTCTTTCGAAAACGTTAGTATTCAAAAATGAGCCTATAACAGGCTGTAATGAGCTACTCATCTTCTGTACAACCCCTAAGGCGTGTTCCATTTGCAAAATAGCCTTAGACAAATCTTACTATAAATATGTGATTTATTACCAGTTTGAAATTCTCCATAATGATATCCGGCTAACCCTTGCAGAAGTATCTGTTGCTCTGGTTTCTCCTTTTACGCATGAAAACC